GTAAGAAATAAAAATCTACGGAATGGCGGGTTCTAACATTTTACACACTATATAGAGTATTAATGTATTGCTTGTTCTTATTTTTTATTTTTATTTCCATTTTTTAGGGTTTTAGTAAGATAATTATTTTTTTATTTCTTGTTTTTATTTTCATTTTTTACCAACATGATGAATCATTACATTAACACTTCGTACAGTGCGTAAAGCATTAGAACTCACCGCTCTGTATATTTTTAATTATATTTCTTATTAGCTTAAGGTTAGTTTTTATTGATTTTTCTTTTTAATTCATTACTTTGTATTATCTTTGTTGTTTTTCCCATTTTTGTTATTGTTTTTATATTTTTCCGATGTAAGACTAATCTCAAAAAATGATGAAGGTAGAAACTCATTTTAAAAATTGAAGAGAAAATTTAAAAAATATTTGAGATTAATTCCAACTTTCAATTTATCGCGCAAAACATGCATCCGCTAACTAGTCGTTAGCAGCTTAACAGTGACCTAAAACTCACAAATCTCGGCAAAGTTGAAATTATTATGTATCATAGTGAAAGTTGAGATTATTTTTAAAAGACTAGGTAAAATTTGGATTATTCTGGATAAATTTTCCTAATGTAACCATATTTTTTCTCCGGTTTTATTTTTTCTTTTCCATTATTTTTCTTTTTTTTCTCTCTAATTAAACAGAAAGAAATATTTTTCTTCTTATTTTCTTTTTTACTTTCAAGTTCTTCTACCAAATATAATAGCGGTGGGGTTCCCATGACATTAGAACTGCATGTCATGGAATGACCCAGTGTCTCGTTCGTAAAATTGACGGTTCCTATCTCCTCTAACCGCACGGTAAACTCCCTCACCCCGCCCTGACCTGAACACCCCTCACCCCGCCCCGACCTGAACACCCTTCACCCCTTCAATTACACCTCACAAATTAATTTTGACTTTGGACATACCAAGGAAAATCTAAATTTCTATTTAGATTTAATTTAAGTTTTAAATTTAAATTAGGAAGTACTTTTACAGATTCCTCGCTCGTCTGACAGTCATGCTAAGAGACACGAGTTTTTTTAGAATGCTATTGTCTCTATTACTATCTGTGTATACTATTCTCAACCTAATGACGCATAAAGAGTCAATGCATTCACTTCTGCTGGGGCTCGAACCTGGGTGAACTTTCACATTAGTTTTGGGGAGTGAGCTTCCTACCACTCAAGCGAGGGGAGACACGAGTTGACTTTGTGGAGATTAAGAGGGTGTTTGGGAGTGTGGTGAGTTATGTAAAAGTAGAAGTCATAATTTAGAAGCAGAAAACATGTATTTGTAGCTTTGCTAGAAAGCACTTCTAGACCTTAATTTTAACTTCTAAACCCATAATTTATAAGCTAAAGCAGATCGGCAAACATTTAAAATTGTGTTTTAGTAAAGTAGAAGGTATAAGTTATTTTCAAATGCAACCCCAAACACCCTCTAAGAAAATGGCCAAATAGCTCCACTGCCCCTCTAGTTTGGAAAATTGATACCAATACTTTATCTATTTTCAAAACTTATTTCTAAAGTCATCATAGTTTCAGAACGATGGGGACATTGGCGCCTATTTTCTAAACCATGGGGGACAGTCGTGCTCATTTCTTATTTTTTTGTTTATTATTTGTTTTTTTCTTTTTCTTTACTCTTTTTATCTATTTGTTTCCTTTTCTTATAAAAGGTTTTAAAATTTCTTTTCAATTTTTATAATGTTTTAAAAAACAAAAATCCTTTGTGTTTGAAATAAAACTAAAAATAAAAATAAATAACATATACTCGATCTATCTCAAATTAAACATTTTCACCTTTTGTTTTCTAGAATATTTTTTTGGTAAGTTCAGAAACAAAATTCAGAATAAAAAATAAAAATATGAAAAAACAAAATGAAAAAATTGAAAGATTCAAAAAAAGCCTTATACAAAAAGAAATTTTCAAAACGCCTAAAAAGTCTTTAAAATTGGGATGTCCAAAAAGATATTCATTTTTATTTTTTTAAAATTTATTTCTTATTTTATTCCTCATTTTTGAAGTTGTCAAAAAAAAATTTCTTTTTTATTTCGGAAAACAAAAAATAAAATTTTTTAATTTGAAACGTACAGATGCAATATACTCGTAAGTTGAAAAAAAATTAAGAAAATTATAAAAAATTTACAAATAAATTTAGAAAAAACCTGATTAATAAAATAAACAATAAAGGAAAAAAAGAAGAAAAACAAAAAATAAACGAAATAAGCATCACTTCCCCTTATGGTTTGAAAAATAAGCACCAATGCCCTTTTTTCGCTAGAAAATTATCAGAAGGGGTATTATTGGTACGAAAGTATTGTTTTAAAACTTTGGAGACTTTAAGAATAAATTTTAAAAACAGAGAGGTATTGATGCTTATTTTCCAAACCACAGGAGGTGCTGATGTTATTTGGCCTATGAAAAAATTTAGAAATAATTGAAAAAGATAGGGAGAAAATGTAAAGTTATTTTAAAAAAGTACTCCCTAGCTCCATCTTGAAATCGGTTTTTTTTACTCCGATTTTTTGATAACTTTTGTTTAGATGCATGTTTTCAATAATTATTTAATAAAATAAAATATTCTTTTCACCTTTTATTTTCTAAAGTATGTTTTCTAAAGTCTTTGACGTAATTTTAAATATATATTTTTCACTTTTTGTTAATGTACATATTTGTTAATAAAACAATTTGGAAAAGTGTAAGGTTTTATATCGTAACTCTTGATTTATATGGAGTAATAATAAAATTGGGACAAAAGAAATAAAAAATGTGTAAAGGTAATTGAAAAAATAGGGAGTACTATTTGAACGGATGTAGGATGTTGTCCATTTCTTGGACCGAAAAATGATGCAGGAGCTCAGTGGTTGGAAAGAACCAGAGTTCGAATCCGGGTAACTGCAATGAGAATTAATCATAGAAAATATAGGGCTTGTGTCAGTAGTAGAAGTGAAACCTCATCCTTATGCCAACTAACCTCAATTTACATGTTTCAGCTAAGTATATGGGGTGTCATCTTTTAAATGAAATATGACTGTCCAAAAACGTGGTGTAAAATAGTCGTGCAAATTAAGAGCATGCCAGAGTGTTGCTCCACTCAGTAGATGTGACAGATTGGAAAATTATGAAATGTGGTCGGCAAATATTAAATGAAAGAATTACAAAATATGTGTACACGAACAAATGTATTCCCTATCTCATCTCACTTTGTACCTTCAAAGTATGCCTCAACATTTTATGTTAATGTGATGCTATTGTGATAAATTATACAGATACAAAACATTTATCAGTGTTAATTTTTTTTAATGAATTATCACTTTTTATCGATGTGAATTGTTAAAATGTCGATACATCCATTTAGAGTATAACTTGGGGTACATTTTTTGATCTACCCCTAGCATAGTTGTAAATGCAATCAGGCATTAGGCATTTACAATGGAGGAGAGCCGCACGGCCGTGCTGCAAAATTTGACTTAGAGTTCTTAGAGTTTTTTTAGATATTCTTTGATGGTGTAAATTACTTGACCGGTCAAACTATACTAGACCGGGTCTAGAATAGTTTGCTTGATTTGGCAAAGTAAGAAAGATAAAAACTCGCAGATTGACCGGTAGGACTTTAGGTGGAACACCTGTAGCCCAATTTATATTATAACGGAGAATGCACGGGTGCTTTTACAAGGGAGTTTCGAGAGAATGAATTCGGATCCCTCTTTCTGAGGTTTACATGAGTATTTATACTAGGCTAAGGGGACAGGACCACGTGCGCCCACGTGGGGGCATGCTGCTGATGTGGTGCGAGGTGACTGGTTTCGTCCTCAAGCTGCCTTGTCGCCTTGTGAAGGGGATCATTCCCTTTGTCGAGTAGTGCCTTGGATGGATTCTTCAGCATCTCCAGTTGTCCTCTACTGACACGGGTCGCTACACGCCAAGCCCTCGCAGATCCTCTTCTGCCGACACTTTCCAACCCCAGAAACTACACCGGG